CCAAGGGCAAAGCTAGCTTCGTTACTGGGAGTCCCGGGATCGGAGGAGATATAGAACGTGTGCAGTGAGGGATCTTTATCGGTAGAAATGGTCAATTTCACTCATTTCACAGCTATAGCCGACTAAACGATTGAGATTTCTTGCTCCTCGTCTTAGCGAAAAAGCAATGGAGGACGAAAACACGGGGTTTCATGAATCAATTCGATTTTTAGATAAAGAGAAGATGCTTCGAATAGGAGTATGAGACGCCCCAATTATCGTATATAGGTATACTCTGACTTTCTAGTCAAAGAGCATTTAGGCAGCGCGTGAATCGAAACGTGAGTCATTGTTTCACCTCATTCGCTCGAAGTCAAAACTCACTTTCCTTCGTGATGGAGTGACGGCCTTGATTCAACTAAGGGACATGAAAAGAGAAACGGATAAACAAGAATGCAATGTATTACGCGTAAGGGGCTCCTCCTTACTATTACTTACTTAATATATTGGTACACTTGTGCAATAAAAGACAGTATTCATCATACGTTAGTCACACATTACTCATTAGTAAGGGGTAAGCTTGCTTTCCTTTAGAGCAATAGTTTCTCAGGCAAGTAGACCAACCAAACATAACTGTCCATTTTTCTCTGTTTTCAAGCCATTTACATGGTTTTATTCTGCCATAACCTCATCTGTATTCCGGAATCATTCGTCCGAGCAGTTTTCACTTTATGAATAAGTTCAGAGGGGATCGACACCCCTCTTACCGTTGACCAATGCTATCCCCCTCTGCCCTCCCGTTCCGTCTTGATCTTCTCTTTCGGTCCACAAGGTCACAAGGGAACTTGAGACAGCAAGCGGATTAGATCGAGCAGATTTAAGAGCAAATGGTCCTGTTTGAGTAGGATTATAAAGTGCAAACTCTAATGAATTGGCAAGCGTGCTCAGACTGATTTTCTTTGTGGATTGTCTCCTTCAATGATGGCTGGCTATGTATAGTTACTTTAAAAACCGGATCTCTTTTAATAGGAATGTTGATCATTTATTCAGTGTCAAGGACATTCGGAATTTCATTTCTGATGACACTTTTTTAGTTAGGGATAATAATGGGGACAGTTATTCTATATATTTTGATATTGAAAATCAGATTTTTGAGATTGACAATGATCATTCTTTTCTAAGTGAACTAGAAAGTTCTTTTTATAGTTATCGGAATAAGGGATCTAAGAGTAACGATCCCTACTATGATCGTTACATGTATGATACTCAATATAGTTGGAATAATCACATTAATAGTTGCATTGATAGTTATCTTCATTCTCAAATCTGTATTGATACTTACATTTTAAGTGATAGTGACAATTACAGTGATAGTGACAGTTACATTTATAGTTCCATTTGTGGTGAAAGTAGAAATAGTAGTAAAAGCGATAGTTCCGGTATAAAAACCAGCATGAATGGTAGTGATTTAACTATAAGAGAAAGTTCTAATGATCTCGATGTAACTCAAAAATACAAGCATTTGTGGGTTCAATGCGAAAATTGTTATGGATTAAATTATAAGAAATTTTTGAAGTCAAAAATGAATATTTGTGAACAATGTGGATATCATTTGAAAATGAGTAGTTCAGATAGAATCGAACTTTCGATTGATCCGGGCACTTGGGATCCTCTGGATGAAAACATGGTCTCTCTGGATCCTATTGAATTTCATTCGGATGAGGAGCCTTATAAAGATCGTATCGATTCTTATCAAATAAAAACAGGGTTAACTGAGGCTGTTCAAACAGGCATCGGCCAACTAAACGGTATTCCCATAGCAATTGGGGTTATGGATTTTCAGTTTATGGGGGGTAGTATGGGATCCGTAGTTGGGGAGAAAATTACCCGTTTGGTCGAGTATGCTACCAATAAATTTCTACCTCTTATTATAGTATGTGCTTCGGGAGGGGCACGCATGCAAGAAGGAAGTTTGAGCTTGATGCAAATGGCTAAAATTTCTTCTGCTTTATATGATTATCAATCAAATAAAAAGTTATTTTATGTATCAATCCTTACATCGCCTACTACTGGTGGGGTGACAGCCAGTTTTGGTATGTTGGGGGATATCATTATTGCCGAACCCAATGCCTACATTGCATTTGCGGGTAAAAGAGTAATTGAACAAACATTGCATAAAACAGTACCCGAAGGTTCACAAGCAGCCGAATATTTATTCCAGAAGGGCTTATTCGATTTAATCGTACCGCGTAATCCTTTAAAGGGCGTTCTGAGTGAATTATTTCAGCTCCACGCTTTCTTTCCTTTAAATCAAAATTCAAGCAAGTAGAGCACATTAAGTTCAATTATTTTATTTGTAGCAAACAAGTAGTTAGTTTATCGAAATCAAAGTCAAAATCAGAAGAATAGAGTTTTCTTTGATGACATAAGATCTAATTGTAGAAAAAATCAAAAATTATGGAAAATTCTTTTTTTTACCTATATTACTGACTAGTAATCAGGAAGCCTCTAGCAACAAGATAAAAAAACGAATTTCATTTTCCTTTCTTACGTCTGTATATAATTCAAATATAGAAAATATAGATTTTTGTATCTTTCTATATCTCCCGAGAATCCCCATTTTTTACAAAGAATCCCCGTTAGGTCGGATTCTAACGAATCTTTCGGTAATTTGTAAGAAACTCTTTTTTTATTAAATTTAAAGACAAGAAGAAAAGAAGAAGACTAATAAAATCGATTATCATACATATATTTTATGTAGAAAGTAGAAAGATGAATAAGTCCATTTAGTTAGTTCTACATTCCTTGCGCTTATTATATATACTCACTTAGATATATACTAATTAGAATTATAATTATTATAAGATATCTTTAATAGTAAATCGAGGTACCCATTCTATGGCAACTTTTGACTTTTCCTCTATTTTGGTGCCTGTAGTAGGCATAGTATTTCCGGCAATTGCAATGGCTTCTTTATCTCTTCATGTTCAAAACAACAAGATTGTTTAGACCCGATGGGACTAAATTGCATCCATTTTTTTTTTCAAAACTTAGACTTGTATCATAACATTGATATTTATTGAGTGGAATATGGTATAACATGCGGCTTCCGCCGAACATAAATGAAATAGCTCTTATGCATGCAGAAACACGATATATGGGTAAATGAATTCTAGCTATTTTCAAATAGATCGGGATCGGCGGATATCTGAAATGGAAAGTCAATCTATCTATATGTGTGTTAATATCTCGAGTAGAATCATATGAAGGGGATGTTATTTTTTTATATCTAACCAATTTGATGAATTACTCCTAAAGGTTTACATCAAAATAGTGCTAGTTGATGAGAGTTATTTCGGAAACAAAAAGAGTAAAGTCAAATTCATTTGGGTTATTCTCTCAATTCCAATAAAATACAACCGGATCAAGTATGAGTTGGCGATCAGAACGTATATGGATAGAACTTATAACGGGGTCTCGAAAAACAGGTAATTTCTGCTGGGCCTTTATCCTTTTTTAGGTTCATTAGGATTCTTATTGGTTGGAATTTCCAGTTATCTTGGTAGAAATTTGATATCTTTATTTCCGTCTCAGCAAATCATTTTTTTTCCACAAGGGCTCGTGACGTCTTTTTATGGGATTGCGGGTCTCTTTATTAGCTCCTATTTGTGGTCCACAATTTCATGGAATGTAGGTAGTGGTTATGATCGATTTGATATAAAAGAAGGAATAGTATGTATTTTTCGTTGGGGATTTCCTGGAAAAATCGCCGCATCTTCCTCCGATTCCTTATAAAAGATATTCAGTCCGTCAGAATAGAAGTTAAAGAGGGTATTTATGCTCGTCGTGTCCTTTATATGGAAATCAGAGGTCAGGGGGCTATTCCCTTGACTCGTACTGATGAGAATTTGACTCCACGAGAAATTGAACAAAAAGCTGCTGAATTGGCTTATTTCCTGCGTGTACCGATTGAAGTCTTTTGAGAAATGAAAACGGAAGAATAAGAATGAATGCTTTCTCGGCAGGAGGGAAAAACTCAAGAATTCGCTCTATAACATAACTTAACTGAAGTTTCTTTAGAACGCTCATTCGAGCCAAATCAAACGTATACGGAACAACCATAAAACAAACTTTTTTGTCCACAAATCTTTCGTTATATGAATTAGATAAGGCAACCGAGACTACTTGCCTGCAGCGAGACTTCCTTGCTTACCCTGTGTCCCCGTAAAACTCGGTGCGAAATCTGTCTGGTTCCTCTGCTCTATGGATGAAGGTCTATTTCATTGAACCTTACGCTCGCTCTCAGTGAACAATCTCTTTTGAAGTGCATTTTTGGTCAAATGGAGCAAATAGGTTTTTTTACCCAATATCCATATGCCGTGCTACCCAACTTACTCAGTGGAGTCAACCTGTTAGTCAATTTCAAAGAAATCCAAGGCTTTCTTGGGTGATAGATTGAAGCAGGTAGTGAATGAGCTAAGCCAGACCGCTATTACTGAATCCCTCCGCTAGATGTCAGTTGCGGTTGGTTTAAGCCTTTCTTTCTATATCGAAGACGGGGTTGAAATCAAGGTAAGCTTCGGCTGCTGGGGGACTTCCTCTACATGGACCGTTTGCAATTGTTGTGTGCGCTTGTACGCCCCATGACGGGGATATATTGTTAGTGTTTAGGGAGTTTTAGCTATAGGTCACCGCTCTTGCCTGATGAGGACTTGGTTCCTCGCCATGATGGCATGAACATTGTTGGATCTCGTTGGGTGTTTAAAACCAAACTAAAGTCAGATGGTTCCATTGAGCGCTTTAAAGCACGGTTAGTTGCCAAAGGATACAACAACCAGTTGGAAGGTATTGATTTGACTTAAACCTTGAGTCTTGTTATTAAACCTACCACAATTCCATAATTGCTGCACTTCCCGAGAAAGAAGTCGTCTTGGTATTGGATCCGCTCTTCTGTTAGCATGAACATGAATGATTTTCTATTCGTCTTCTTTATTCTTAAGATAAACCCCCACTCACGAAGCTACTATTTTTGCTGCGGTGGATGGCTATTATTAGTTTTGTCTTCTCAAGATTTCGATTCTGATTTCGAATAACGCTCTTTGAGCTCGAATTTTCTTCAGAATCATAATTTTGTGCATTCGTTTTGACCTCTTCTAATGCGAACCATTTTGAAGACCACCAATCCCTCTCGAATGAGTTCTACTATAGAAGCTTTCAACGTACACCCGGGGACAAATCTTTCACTCACTGAGAAGTGAAACCCTGTGACTAGATCGTCCTGAAGACGGATGCGACGGGAAGAGGTGGCATTTGGAAGTGTTGCTGACTTAACATTTAGGTTTCGGCATAACAAAGCTTTCACTGTCTTTTCGCACTTAGGCGCGCAGCGTGCCATTGGTAATGATTCTACTACGGTGCCACAAATTCGCAAGCTGATCCTAAGTAATCGTTGTTGTTCATTGGATTCCGGAGGAACTACTTCGTTAGGATTGGGGAATTGTTGCGATTCTTCCTGAATAGCCTGTATTCTCCCGTCGAGAGCTACTTGGAAAGTCTTACCTAAACTCTTCCGACTTAATATGAGAAAGCCTATAAAACAACGAGCTACTATCATTTCTTCATTATAGATTGAGATCTTCTTCGAACTTGACGCACAAATAGATGGAATAGCAACAAATAGCATCTTTCTAGCCTGCATATTTGTGGAACTCAATATCATTTCGAAAGCTTCTCTCTATCTTTAAACAACTGAACGGGAAGTGGTTTAGGAAATGGAGAATCTACTGCGCTCGCCCAGCGAGAAAGGCCCTGACCCTGCCAACCAAGTCAAAAGAAAAAAGAAAGAAGAGAACGAAAGGAGAAGAGAACTTCATATTTTGTCTCTAGGAGTCATGTTTAACCTTGAATGCT